TTAAGGGGGTGGTTGGTCGTGACATCGAGATCGCTAATCAGACCGGATGATCATTGGGGATTGTGTTTCAGGGTTGCATTCGCCTCACGAAGGATTAACCGGTGCCGCTGGTCAAGGCATGTCTGGACTCGCTTACTATCAGCCGGAGCATCCCGGATCTGCAGGAGTAGTAAAATATCCCGAAAATGGTCACGACACTCTTTCGGATTTCGTGACGTTTGTCTGTCAAGAAGCTGAGAACACTCAACAGCTACCGCAGGTAGTTTACGGATTGTTGTTCGGATGATATTTACGACACGTACGACGCACGTCGAGAGCGTGAGAAGGCGTTCATCGCGCGCATCGCGTACATCGATATCGAGTGTTTCATCGGTTACGTCCGTAGGACCTCTATATCCATCTATTCTCCGGTCGTCGACAGTGAACTTACACAACTTGTCGAACCTTACTTTTAGACGCAGCTGACCGGGTCACGTACTGGTATACAGAAGTTCTCGCAGTATTATCCGAGTTCGATGTTACCGCCGCCGCCTCCCGCTCCTATGGCTAGACCGGTGGCGATAATAAGATCGACGGGTGAGCTAACGGCGTCAACTGCCAGCTCACCACCAACGTCCTCCACATCGCCTACTGATCCAGCCGAGCTAGGTTCTAATCAGGAACAGATGACCGCCGCGGCGGCGGTCGGTTTGGTCAGTTCCGCTTGCCAGAATTCTGTCGAACCTACCGGACGGAAGAGTCCCACCAGAATTCTCGTTACTCCGCACACCAGTAGAGAATATACATTCGCTCACTTTCACTCGCAACCCGGACAGGTTAGCTCATCGATCTCCTTTCTCTCGTTCCTGTCTTTATCGCGTGGCTGTCGTTTATCGCGATCTTGATCAATTTCGCGTCAAACAATTATCGATTCGATTTTTGAATTTTTAGCAAATTTTCACGTATCCGACCATTGGCTCGATGTCCGGAGTAATTTCGCCGACTAACTTGTCTCTATTTTCATCCCCTGTCTCGGTTACGAGGCCTGTTACCGCTCAGAGGCCAGTCTCTAATGTTCCGCCACGTTGGAACACCGCGCCGTTTATCAATCTGGAAGACGATTACAACATGATCGGGCCCATCATCGCTGGAACTACCAGCGAGCCCTCGGCTACCATGGAGGAAGGTGAAGCTGAACGTCTTGTTTGCCCTTACCGATTGTACCAATTGAGCGGCGAGATCGTGTGTGGTGTGTGTGTGTGTGTGTATGTGTGTGTGTGTCATTGTCTGTTTAAAATAATTTTATCTTTTCAGAACGATACTACCACCCGGTGCATACGAGTGGTGTAGATAAAAATGGCAATGGTAATCTAATAGGCAACGAACTCGGAGTAAACACAGATCCTACATCGCATCATCATCAACAACATCAACAACAACAACAGCACCAACAGCAACAGCAGCAGCAGCAACAACAACAACAGCAACAGCAGCAGCAGCAACACCAGCAGCAGCAGCAGCAACAGCAGCAGCAGCAGCAGCAGCAGCAGCAACAGCCACAGTCGCAACAGCAGCAACAACCGTCTTCGCAACAGCAGCAGCAGCAAGTAATGCCAGATAAATCTGGCGGACCTAAATCTCCTCCGTGACAGTGGAGTCTGAGAACGGAAGATCTCGAGAGACTCGCGAACTCGCCGTGTTCGTCGGGTTCGGCACTTCGCGTTATACCTGAAGCGAGTAATCGTCGGGAAGCTATGCCTCGTATACAGTTACGTGATTTAAACTTGCGGAGAATGGAATATCTGAGAGTTCGATCTTAGTTTACTATGAAGCGAGAATAAGAATGCTCTCCAGGGAATGTAATCGAGGAAAGAAAAAGTCTGTTTCATTCGTATTTATTGAAATGTATCGCTCTATATTATACACAGGGAGAGAGAAAATTTCATATATTATACACGAGAATCTAATCTAACCAATTATATAGTTCTATAGTATAATTTATCGCGATAGAACTTGCGACGCTTGGAATAGCCATAAGATAACGTCGCCGTGCATGCCTTATCGTGCTCGATAAAAGAAAATTTTCTACTTACGATACCGTACGTAACGAAACGGAACAATGTTCAAAATATATAATGTAACGTATTTAGACGAAACGTCACAATTCCAGCAAAAATTGATACGTATAGTCTCACGCGCTACAAGTTCCGTCATGTGATTAATATGTGATAGCATTTGATTTCTCTGTTGTCAATTACGTAAATGGTATTTTTATTACACGAGCTCTCGCGAAATGCGATTCACAGTTTACGATTAACGTCTAGACTAGTTTCCTCTCATTCTGTTCCTTTATCCCCTCTTCCTATCCTACTTTTTCTCACGCCTCAATTCTCTCTCTCTCTCTCTCTCTCTCTTTCTTTCTCCCCCCTTTCTCCCCTACGCCCCTCCCCTTTCTCCCCCTCCGTCCCCCTTCTGTCTATCTCTCCTTTACCCTCTCTCCTCTCTTCCCCTTGCCCATCCCCTTCCCCTCCTCTCTCTCTCTCTCTCTCTCTCTCTCTCTCTCTCTCTCTCTCTCTCTCTCTCTCTCTCTCTCTCTCTCTCGCTCTCTCTCTCGCTCTCTCTCTCTCTCTCTCTCTCTCGCTCGCTCTCTCTCTCTCTCTCTCTCTCTCTCTCTCCCCCTTCTCTTCCTCAGCAGCTTTTTAACATTTGTTACAACACGTACAATTGCACGCACATTGTAGAGCTCGGTGAAATGTTACTTCAATCGTCGTCTTAATCTTCGTAAATACACAAACGGAGAGGAGGAACAGTTGATTAGATTGTCATTATGAAGGCGACAAAAGTTGTCTTCTTTCGGTTTCGATTTTCGACCATCGATCGATTGAAAGAGTCAAATTTGGTGAATTGTATTTGTGTGTGCCGATACGTTTTCCGCGTTCGTTGGAAATGACGCAAGCTCGTTAAATCTTGTTCAAATGAAACTTGTGTGTATCCTCGATATTTCCTCGGTATTGCACTCATATTCAGTTTCGAAATATGCACGGCATGTTATTCAATTAGCGAGATTAAGAATTACTCCCGAATAAAGTGCATTATAAACGGTTTGGATAAAAAGAATTTGGATAATAAGTATCGTTTTGATATATCTGTATTACAGGCAACTTTTCGCTTAGTGTAGATGCCTAGTTTTGCATTTTATCAGGCGATACATATTTTATATTAAATCAAATATTAAACGTATTCAATATACGTTTGACTCAAACGGGGAATTATAGTAAGATAACAAAGTGGGTGTATATAGTGCCGAGAGTTAGTTACTTACACGACGAGAATAGTCGAGTTCCCTCGTTTAGAGACTATTAGTCGTTTAGAAATATTACGCCCGAGGCTCGAAATCGCAATTGTAGCAATGGTATAATATTCTTCCAATGTTTGTATTATAATAAAAGATTCGTTATTTTCGTAGTAAAATTTTCGCGGTACACGAATACGTTCTCTTTCTGATAAGTACGAAATCATGATATTTTGTATAAATAGTATTTACATTTTGTATCGCGACGGCAATAACTAAAAGAAGCGCGAAAAACATGGGCCATGTCTATGTAGCTTCCGTTACATAAAAAGTAGGAATAACACGTTTACGCAGCTCCTGACAGCGATAGCGCGGATCGCTGTTCCCTTCCTCATTATTCAGTGGATTCTTTCGGAAGATCGTCAACGCGGTCCCATTCGCATGCTTCGATATTCCTTTTACGCTGGAATAAAAACCATGGATGTCCTCGTCGACGATTTCGCACACGTCCCACGTTTCGACGTTCGTTTCTCTGCCGCGAGAAGTTGCTCTTCCATAATTGCTCATATTCCACATCTCGCGACTCGCGCGCCCGTGATATATGTGAATTTATACGTATGTCCATGCAGAATTGTGGATTACACACACGCACATATACACGCACACGCACACGCACACGCACACGCACACGCACACACACACGCGTATACAAAAACAGGGTGTCCCATTTTAATAGTGCACCTCGATTATCGTTGCAGGGAGCGGTCGTAAAGAAAAATGTCTCAGACAAAAGTTGTAGGGTTCAGAAGGGGTCATCTGATGGTGATCTTCATCTTGATCTTGGGGTCAAATTTGAAGGTCATTCGAAGGTCAACATAAAAATTTTAAACAGAAATCCCTATTTTTCAGCACATATTATTGTAGCTCAGCTCGAGAGCTTTTCAAAACACTACAATTAAGTATTTTTTTATTCAGTATTTTCCGAGTTATACACAAGGCTTGAAACAGTATCGGCGACATTACCCAAGGTATACCATGTGGAGGTTGTTCGGTCAGATTTACACCTTTTTTATCTTGTGTGTGTGATCATGTTTGCGTGCGAGTATGGATATCTAAGAATAATAAAATATTTTATTGAAGGTATTCGAAAACATGTTCCCCTTCTTGGATTCATAAACGCAATCTTTCGTAAAAATTGTTACGAACTCTTTCAAGCATAACTGGTGTTCAAGTATAGCTTGTTACACACACACACACACAAACACACACACACACACACACACACACACACACACACACACACACAGACAACACATATATATATATAAACACACAAAACAAAAAAGGTTTGACTCTACGTAGTACACCTTGGGTAATGCTGACGGTACTGTTTCAAGTGTTGTAACTCGGAAAATACTGAATAAAAAATACTTAATTATAGTGTTTTGGAAAACTCCCGAGCTGAGCTACAACAATATGTACTGAAAAATAGAGATTTTTGTTTAAAATTTTTATGTTGACTTTTGAATGACCTTCAAATTTGATCCCGAGGTCAAGATGAAGGTCACCATCAGATAAACCCCTTTAAACTACAACTTTTGTCTGAAACATTTTTCTCTACGGTCGCTTCCTGCAATGATAATCGAAGTGAACTATTAAAATGGGACACCCTGTATATATATATATATATATATATATATATACGTGTATGTATATATATATATATATATACGTGTATATATATATATCAGTGCATCATAGGGCGGCAAGTAAGTACCTCGAACGCGCACAAGTGGAATTTGGAAATCTGAAAATTGCAAATTTATCAATAGGAATGTACGAGGAACGATTCAATGAATACGGACATTTCTGATACATGGCCAGAACTAGAATCTAATGCCGAACAATATGATTCGGCGTTGTATACCGTGCTCCCTTGTTCTCTAGCGATATAGCAATAAATTTCGAAAATTTCGTAAAGAGACTGGCGCGAGATGAACGTCGATAGTGGCAGGCTATTCCCGCTTAAACAGAAAATCATTGAATGCGTATTTTGCGCAAGTTTGCGAAGAGAGAAATAGTCGATAATGAATCGCAATGCGCCGTCGTTAGGTAATGCTCAGGCTAGCATTAATATTAATTAGCGCGAAACAACTAATGACAACTAGTCATCAGAGGCTGCTAGTTAGAGGCAAGATGGATAATATCGTTTATCGAATAATAAACGCTTAATTACCTGAATATGTTATAATATTATATAATATTAAAGGTGATAAAATGTAGAGAGTATCGCGTGAATGAGCAAACAACGAATGTGATTATCGCTAACAAACGCCCAAATTCGTCCCAAAATCTCCGTTGATCGACATCCAAGGAACTCGATTAAATGTATACAGATGAAATTTTTATCATTTATCTCGCACAGGAGAAACACTTGTAATATTATCTACATATTTTAGTCAAATGACGCTGCAAGTTGAACGCTTGGGCTCGTTTTTGTTTTGCTTTCGTTGCCCTTTACTTTTCCTTTCCTCTCTAATATTCACTTTAATCAGAAGAACGCAGATGATGCAAGAACACTCGACTTGTGCGGACGATACTCGCCACTGCTTGTATCACTCAGAGGTTTCACGAAAAGTGTTCCACCGGTCGTGTTCGTTCTTTAAATATTACTCACTGAATGACCCAATGACCACGCAATTTACACTCATAACCGTTTAATTTGTGTCTTCTTGTTTCTTTTCTTGACAAAGAAAGCAGCTCCGTTCAAATTACGACAAGGAGAAGAGAAGTGGGTATTGGAAGTTATTTTGGAAACGATCGCGAGTGGTATGAAAATGGCATGAAACGATCAACACGCTTGTCACAGTGTCGCGGATGTGTTCACACGTTGCGTCAAATCGGGCCATCGTTAATTCGGCATTTGTGCGACAAAATTTTATACACACAATACCACGTTTCGTTATCGAGTAAACGTAGATAATGTACATTAACCGTATATATCGTGTGCCAGACAGAGAAGTTGAACAAACGCGAATAAACGAGACATAAATGATACTTTTCTTCATGTCTTGTCTGTAGTGCAGTCTGGCCAAATAATTCATCTTGTATGCTATGTCATTTGCAATTGCAATTCTGCGACGCCCATTCAAACAATCAAATCTTATCTCGCTTCTTTCAACCGATAATTTGACTTATTTATTTATTAGTATCAGTCGATAATTATACAGGTGGGTCAAGATGTGTCATTCAATTATGCGTTAAAATTACAACAGTACATACCGTGTATGTACGCGTTTTGTCTGTATCTTTTTCTTCAAGTAAGAGACAGATGAAAAAAATGCAAGCGCGCGAATACGCTTCAAAACAGAGGAGATAAAATATAACCAGCGATCGAAAACATCAAAGTGTCATAGTAACAATATGTTGGAACAAGTCAAATGTTCCGCTACTAGAATTGTAAAAACGTCTCAGTGACGGAGCAAAAATATTGAATTCCGTTGAGTACCTCCATATTTATGGAATCAACGATAACCAACCTGGTTCAACGTATAGAAACACGTCAGTTTGCTAAATTTTCTCTATAGTTTGTAAACAAATTATACAACTTTTTCTACAAAATGAAAAATTTTTAATTCAGATATTATTTTCGTGGAACATTATACGCTTTATCACTTTTCATCTCTCTCTCTCTCTCTCTCTCTCTCTCTCTCTCTCTCTCTCTCTCTCTCTCCCCCTCCCTCTCCCTCTCTCTCTCTCTCTCTCTCTCTCTCCCTCTCTCTCTCTCTCTCTCTCTTGCCCTCTCTTTTCCTTTTTCGCTCTATTCCGTTTTCAATCTATCCATTTATCTATGCGTATGTGACCAGTATGCATCAGTTTCAATTTACTTGTACATCATTCCCCTACATTTCTTTCGCATTATATGTTGCGCATATATACACATTATATGTTGTGCATATATACACGCGCCCGTATATTCATCCACAGCACTCACACATACACACACATGCATATGACATATGCGCGTGATGTATAAATATATAAATTTGAATGGCATAAGATGTTTAGTGCGAATACTGATATGTTAATTGATTATATTCTTTACTGATCGGATGTCATACTGAAATATATATCAAAATTACGTAGTATATCAATTTTTAGTAGTCAAAAATATTTATCGAAGCTCTGTTGCTTAACGTAGGATTATTGGCTAATGCAAAGTTTATTAA